GCTTAAAACTTGCCTCTCCTCAAAACCCTTTAAGGTAAAAAGCAATTCAGATTCCTGCTAGCAACACTATTTTAGGTTACATTATGTTCCCAAGTACCCAGTGACACGTCTTACCCTACATTACTTATGGAGACTGGTCTCAGGATTTCAAAAACACTTTTTCTTAAGTTTCAAATATTCAAATGTTACCTACCTTTTTTCTTAACAGTTAATTAATACGAGACTTGGGGGGAGGAGTATTTTTTTTGAATGTTATTTTTTATAGAAAATTAGCCTACCATCTTGCAGCCAATTGCAAGTTTGCTGTATTTCACAGCTGGTTTGCTACTGATCTTTCTTAGTTCACACAAAACTCGCTCATTATTTTCCTCAGAAAATAAGTTCATCTCCATGTTCTATTTACTCCGTCACATCCGCTACCTCCAAACTTTTTCTTCTGCCCTGTACTCAACGGGGTCTCCAGCGTTTCCGCCTAAATCTTGCGACCTTTCTTCCCTGGATGCCCACCCACTGAGCAGAGGGCAGGGGCACGGGCCCCACCTCCCCCCACCCCTCCACCGCCAGGGAGCAGGACGGATGGGTGGACACCGCCCCACCCCCCAACAGAGAAAACGCTTTGTGATTGTAATTTCAGGTTTTCTTTTTTCTTTCTGCAGCTCGGTCAACATTTAATAGCAATATTCCAAGCTCTTCATTTTTCAGTGGGAAATCATGTGGGTCACACATATCAAGAAACCAGGAAACACAACAACCTTATCCTTTATGAAACTATTCCTTTTAAAAACATCTCAGCTATATTATGGTAGCAATATATATTATGCTTTTAGTCTTCTACCGGGTAACTTTGCCAGAGAAGCAAATGTCAAATTATAGCAAGAAATGGTTTAATTCATCTCCTTTATTTGATACGTTTCTTTTTTTAATAATTTTTGAAAATTTTTTTTATTTATTTCTAGGAGAGAGAGAGACAGCGTGAGCAGGGGAGGGTCAGAGAGAGAGGGAGTCGCAGACTGAAGCAGGGTCCAGGCTCTGAGCTGGCAGTCAGCATAGAGCCCGATGCGGGGCCCGAACCCACGAACCGCGAGATCATGACCTGAGCGAAAGCCGGAACCGACTGAGCCACCCAGGTGCCCCAAACTGATACATTTCTGAGGTAGCTTTAAACAGGGCAGTGGAACATTCACTCCTGCAACAATATGCTGGGGGGGAGGGCGGGGGCAACAAACAATTATGGTGATCAATACCATCTGCAAGGCAAGCTCATTTAATCTTGGAATATTGGCTGTTCAAAGATCTCTGGAAAAATACTTTCTTAAACTGTGGATGAAGATACTCAACGACACTTTTGGGGCACCTGGGTGGCTCAGTGTATTGAGTACTGGACTTCTGATTTCGGCTCAGGTCATGATCTCATGGGTTCCTTGGTTCAAGGCCCTCGTCCGGCTCTGAGCCTGCTTAGGACATTTGTCTCTCCGTCTCTCTGCCCCTCCCCCATTTGCACGTTCTCTCTCTCTCAAAATAAATAAGTAAATGCTTTAAAAAAAAAAGAGTAATATAACTTTTAATCAAATCACATCCACAAGAAACCCTGAACTTTCAAGGACTGAAAGTACTGCAGCCAGTTATTCAGAAAATGACAAATAGTATAAATGAAACAAAATGATCTTTAAAAAGTAGAACATTATTAAAACAATGCAAATTCGCAAACTTTTAAGATCACAGTATCATATTTCTTAAATCATAATTCCATATGGTACGTTGCATACAAGAAATTCTTTGTAACTATTACCATTAAGAATTACAAGGTATCAGGCTCAATAAAATAAAGTCTGAGAAGTAAAACCACTCCTTGTAACCAGAAATGTTATAGAATACTAATTCAGGAAGTTATTCAGCAGCTTATAAAGAAGTAGGAAGTTGTTGACCACCTACTTGAAGAACTATTTCCTGTAGGAAAATTCTAAGACAGCTGAAGAAGGCAGTAATTCTCAGAGTAACACAGACCAACAATTCTTATAAAAGTCCAATATCCAATGTTGAAAAAATTAGTTTTAAAACCACTAACTCAGCAGCACAAATATTATATATAACATACAGACTGAGCTTCCCTCCTCTTCGCAATCACACCACACCCTGAGCAACCACACTGCACTCCTCTCTGGAACGGGGTGGGGGGTGTCTAACCCACAATGATCACCGGCCTGTGATCAATCTTTCAGTGATTATGCTGCCTTGAGACTAGAGACCAAGTGACTTCAAAAAGTCATTCATCTATGGTCACAAGGCAACAATTAGTTTCCAAAGTCAACATTTCTAAGTTTTCAATCAAATTACATCACCTTGCTTGTTTGGAACATTCGTAGTCAGAGTTCTTCGTGCCAAGTATAAATCTCAATCAGTTACATACTTTGTAACTTGAAAATATCAAAACTAGGATAAAGACGAACTTGGACAACAGCAACTTGGCTCCAAAAGCTTCATTTAACATCATCCTTGACTCACAGGACAGATTAAGCTCATTTACCTGTGCAGTACACCAAAATAAGTGGTTTTCAGCAACTCCTTGAACCCAGGACATCATGAAAGTAGCTAGCAACTGGATGTGAACTAACTTTTTATAACTTCTCCAGATTACATACTGGTTATAAAGCAGACACTCTTTTAAAGAATATAAAATTTTACAAGCCCACAGTACCCATCTGCCACAAACCAATTCTTAGGGGCCCTCGATACAATTCCTGACCAGTTAATTCATGATTTGCCTGCTTTTTCTGACAAAGACCTATTCTTTCAGGAAAAATCCTTGAATTTCTAAAAGGTTTGATGGGAGAGAATTATTCCATGAAGTACAAAATCCTCATGTTTCTTATCATATAAATCCAAGTTCACTTCTTTGTGAGAGTCCCTCAAAAATCGTAACAATCATGTTTGTTTTCTTAATTTTTTTTCCACTTGTTAGGAACAATCCTGTTTTCTCTCTCCTCTTATTTTCTTTTCCAGGTAAGCTTCTCTCCACTCCTACAAACATTTTTCATAAGGCATAACTTCCCATATTAGTTTGGCCTGTCTTACCTTCCCTACAGACCCATTCAACTGGAGTATCGAGGCTGTCGTGGCATAGTGGTGTATTCGTCTATACCCTTCTTCAACTCATCTTTATCAATTTCATTAAAAGAAACACTTCTTCTCAAAGAAAAATACATTGGAAACTTTTTTAAATAAATGTAATGAGTATTTCAGCTCAAAATAAATGAAAATGCAGGCAGATGTCACCTATAAGCATTTAATACAAGATACAAAAGACTAAGGTCGCATAACTCTTGCTCTTTAACCTTATACTTTAGCTACAGCATCAGTTAAAGACAGGAGGCAAGCAGGCTATTAAGTGCTTTAAAAAAAATCTGCCCAGGTCTGCATGTGACCCAGCAGGGAGAGGTTCAAAAAGTATAGCTTTTCTTTTTCATCCTAACAACCTGGTTTGTTTCCATTCCTTTCCCTTCAAGACACATCCCTCCCAGCCAGCAGCTCTTTCAATCATTTACTTTGGACACCGGCTGTGCCGATCTTGCTCATGCAGATGAGTTTGCCAGACTTGCGTGTGCTTTCCAGTCTCAGGCCCTTTATTGTTCTGGTTGAAACCTGACCCTTTCAAATGGATACCAGGACACCAGAAAACGAATTAAAAAAAAAAAAAAAAGTTACAGGAGAGGGGGCAAAAAAGAGTAGCTACTTTTCAAGATCAAACTTCTTTCTAAATAAGCCCATCTCAAAACCCTGTCTTACATTACCAACAACCCCACCCTGAAAGACAAACAACATAAAATACTTACTCAGACTCACACAATAAAATAGTATCACTAATTGTATTATCTGATCTAATAAACAAATGTTACATTTGCCATAGAAGGAGACTGTCAAAACAGATCAAAACTTGGATTGTTTTTCACTTCATTATCTCAATCTGATCAGCAACTTTTTAAAAAACATAAATCTCAGTTTATAACAAGCACTGAGAAAATAAGCCAGATAAAAATACTAAGGTCTCACCTACAAATTCCAAATGAGAAGGGATAAAATTCTTTTTTTTATTTTTTTAATGTTTTGTTTATTTCTGAGAGAGAGAAACGGCGTGAGCAGGGGAGGGTCAGAGAGAGAGGGAGATACAGAATCTGAAGCAGCTCCAGGCTCTGAGCTGTCAGCACAGCCCCCAATGCAGGGCTCGAACCCACGAACTGCAAGATCACGACCTGAGCCGAAGTCGAACACTTAACTGACTGAGCCACCCAGGTACCCCTAAAATTCTATTTTGGTCTTTTCAGCCTTAATGAAATATTGCCATTTTGTTAAAGACAAAGGGCTCATAAAAATAAATAACCCAGTGGCCTTATTTTTGTTTTCTCACAAGAGAAGGATTGTATTGAGGACCTGCTAGCTTGAAAGAAGTTTGCCACAGAGTGACCGTGTCAAACATGAAAAACTGAACTTCTCTTTACTGGGGGGGAGGGGGGAGGGGGAGTAATAAATCACATCAAACTACAGCTAAAGGATCTGTCGTTTCACCATCTAAAATACTGTAAAATCTGCCTCGCAAAGGCCTGTCCACCATGAGAGGGGGACACTGCCAAGTCGTGCCCTCCATCTCCCTAGACTCTGCCAGCCTGTAAATCTCACTATTTGAAAATTTTCAGAGTATTGTTTCAGTTTTAAGCCACGCTCATTAACAGGTTTGGAACAAAGTCAAAATGAGAATACTCAAACTGACATAAAAGAAAAGATTACTACAAGGCTCCAAACCAAGAATCAATCAACCTTTCAGAATATTACCCAAGCTCAAGAAGGTAATTAGATCACATCCAACTGAAACACACACATATACAAAACTAAGCCCGACATAAAGTAAAATAAAAATAAGTGACATTTTATATCCTGATACCACCTTACTGTGTTTTCCAGAGTACGTTTTTCTTAGAAAACTACCTCCCTCCATTATTGCCACTTACTTTAAGAAGTATCTCTGACCGGAAGAGGTCTTGGCCATCTCCCAGCCCGCGGGCAGAGGTACATCGTCGGGTATCTCAAAAGAAGACTGCCGCAGGTGCTGAGCAGAGGGTGTAGCCGAGGGGCCGGAGACCACGCCGGTGGGGGTCAGTGTCCCAGGAGACACGGCCCCCAGCTGCAGGGAGGCTGGGGAGGAATGAGCTCGAACGTGCTGGGGTGCCAGGGCTCCCGCACTGCCTGCGTCAGTACTGGCCTACGAGGAAAATTAAAATGAAAATTTCTAAAAAAATTATTTTTAAAGGGGGGAGGGTCCCTTTAAATTTCCTTGGCAAGATTTTCATTGCAACCCAGTATCCGAGTAGCAAAGGCAAAATTTAAAATTCAACACAGAGGAATATGTTTACTGTGGTGTGCTTTCAAACGGTTAACGTGATTTTAATGTGCACTTTTACAAACATGTGTCACTTTGCTGATTAACAGCCCAGCTAACTTAATTTCCACCTAGTATACATTAGATGTGCCTTCTATAGATGTTAGAGAGAAACAGTACGGAATGAATAGAACATTCCTAAAATACGCTCAATTTTAAAAACTAATTTCTAAGGGACCGAGGCGGCGTGGGTGCTCTCCTGAGTTCTAAATGTTCCGGGTAGAGCAAAACCCAAGGAACACAACCACCATGCGTCCTTTTTCTTTTCTTTTTCAACGGGGTTTTAAGCAATATTTTTTTCCTAAACCAAGCCCTAAACAAAAGACAACTGTCATTTTTTCTCTGTGGACAAATGCTATCAATAAAAGCCTCACAATCTACACAACTTTTAATGCATGTGAAAGACTGAGAATTTTCCAAATGTTCTTACTAGACACCTGAATAAAATGAAAAAACCGCGCAGTAGTACCTAGATGATAAAAATGTCAACAGTTGCAGCGTGCTATAACAAGAATATACACACTTACATGTTTAACAATGGGATAATTGCAGAAAACACTTTGCAAGCAGACCCCAAAGATCTGAGTTCCAGTCCAAAGTGGCCAGTGTGACAGAGACCAACTCTCAGTCTCATTTGTAAAACAGCTTCTCGTGTGTGTGTGTGTGTGTATGTGTGTGTGTCCAGCAGTTTATGAACAGCAGTGTTTACCATCCACACTCGTACTTCTCATAATCTGGCATAGCTAAATTCCTGATTAGAATTTGGGTTTGGTTATTAAAGTACGAACTTCCTAGGTTCACATGGGGGAGACTGAAAGCAGTCAGCTGAGGCATTTATGCCTTAAAACCGGCTACACTGCTGAGTTTTTGACCAGCGTAAACCTGAATTAGGAAATCACCAGCAGAAACAAAAAAACTTACAGATGCACAGCACTTAGCTAAGAAACTTATCAAAAGCAAACAGAACTATAGATTACGAATAGTATTAATCCATAATCTGGCGGACGGAAATTCTCGTAGTCATTTTACTGAAAGATTTTTTTGCAACTTTTCCGTTGCAATTCTTTGTGGCTTACAGATGCCACAAAACGAGGTCATCTTGCGCGAGCTCCGCTTTCAAAGCACAGGAAGTAACCCGCGGCCGAGGAGCACACCTCCACCCTCGGCAGGGCTCGGGGCAGGGGCACCCCTGGGCCCGGCCTCTCCCAAAGGAAGCTGCTCCCGCCCAAGCCGGGGCTGCGCCGGCAAGGCAAGGAGCTTCTCTGGGCCCCGAACCCCGCGCTGCGAGGCAGGAGAGCGCAAACCGGGGCGACCGGAGGCCGGGCCCCCTCTCCCGCTCGAGCTGCCGCATCAACTACGTCGCTGTATTTGGAAAACCAATTAACTTTTGGGCCAAGTTCCTAGGCTGAAGCTCAGCCTGCAGCAAGTTCTTTTCAAAGGAAGAAAGAGAAAGACAGACGGGACCAAACCGGAGGACCCAGACCGTCGGAATGCGACCTCTCCGGCGGCGCGTCCCCGGCCTCCGGCTGGTCACCGCCGCCCGCACCGGGCGCCCGGAATCTCACGGGGGTAAGGGGAGCAGACCCCGTCCCCGCCCGCCGAGGCCCCCCGGACCCGCAGGGCCCCCCCGGGGCCTCCCCCGTGCGTCCCCAGCAGCCCCCCCGTGCCTCCCCCGCACGCCCCCCGCAGCCCCGCGTCCGTCCCCCGCACGCCCCACGTGCCCCCTGGGTGCCCACGCCCGGCCGCCCCCGCGCGAACCCCGCAGCGCCTTCCAGGAAAGCCTGGACGCCGCCCGGCGCTCTCAGGAACGGGCGGGAGAAAGAGCCAGAAACCTGGCGCCCAGCTCCAACCCCCACCTCCGAGCAACAGGGCAAAACAAGAGAACAATTATCCGACTCCCCCGGAGACGCGGGCGGCCCGAGGGGCCCCCCAGGACACGGCCCCGCGCCCCGCGCCGCCACCTCGGACGCTCACCGCGGGGACGCCAGCGCCCCCCGCCGCCGGGCTCCCCCCCCGGCCCCTCTTCCCCCTCCCCCCACAGGCCGGAGTCCCCGGGATCCTCCTACCCGCCCCCCCCACCGGCCAGGCTCCCCAGCACCCCCCACCCGGGCCCCTCCTCCTCCCCCCCAGTGAACCCCAATTATAACGGAGGGGAACCCAAGCGCTCGAGGACAGCCTACACCCGGCAGCAAGTCCTGGAATTAGAGAAAGAGTTTCATTACAATCGCTACCTGACCCGAAGGAGAAGGATCGAGATCGCCCACTCGCTGTGCCTCTCTGAGAGGCAGATCAAAATCTGGTTCCAAAACCGGCGCATGAAATGGAAGAAGGACCACCGACTCCCCAACA